GCCTGAGCCACTGAGCCCGGCTTATTCCATATATTTAATAAATATAATAAATTTCTGATACTTTGTTCTCCCAGAATTTAAATTACCCAATTTTTATTGGATTTCAGTAAAAAAGATTTTTTCAGTGAGATTTTCCTATTAGGAATAGCTTTTGCAGGTGACCAGAGATTTTTTCTAGCTAGGAGAATTCACAGACGAGGTTTGGAGAGCAGGGCATGAAACTAGAGCCACCAAGGCAGGGAAGTGAGCGTCTCAGTTCGGTGTTGCCTTTGATTCAGTCTGTCTAACGTAGCCTCTGTGTTCCCCTATCACAGCTAGTATAAACATGTTAAATATGCCAGTATATTCTTAAAAAGAAAAATTCTGTCCTAGGTTTATCAGTGATGAACTTCTTCCAGATCCGTTAGCTTATATTTGAGAACATGATGAGCAAGTAATAATGACGTTTATGTATAACACACTATGTGGCAGGGCACCTTTTTAAGATTTTGTTACATGAAGAACTTGTGTCATCCTCACTAGTCCCCATTTAAGGATGGGAAACCAAGTCATAGAGAGGCTAAATAACTTGCCCAAAGTCACACAACCGATAATTAGAGGAGCTGAGATACAATCCATGCAGCCTGGATCTACTATCTGCTTGTACTACATGCTTCTGTCTCCGGCGTGGACTCCTGGGCCATGCTGAATGGAACTAGGGCTGGGCGTCATCCAGCATGACAGTGTGAGTGGCCACTTGTCCTCATTTCATCCAAATTAGAAGGATGACTAGGTTTCAGGGGGAGCAGTGTGCTCTGCTGATGCTTTTGGCTGTGTTTGCGCATTTACTGGTCACATTAGTGGAGATGACTGCCATTTGGAGCCAACCCACCCAAGGAGAATTACCTCGTGCAAGAGAGAAAATGGCTCTGCCTGTACTAGCCTGGGTCTGAATTGTGCTGTTTGTACTCACAAGGCCCCTGGGTGGGACTGGGCACATTGGGGAGGGTAGGATGAGGACGCGCAGGTCCCCCACCTCATGCCCCATGCCCTCATCGTCTCCTCCCGGCGAGTACAGAGTGTTGTACAGCAGTCAGAGACTCTGATCTCCACGCAACTGTCCAGAACTGAATTCAGAGTGAATAAAGACTTGACTTGCTACCACTTCAGAAAGGTTGCTGACCGCTGGCTGGGAGCCAGCTTCTACCGTTCACAGCTAAGAAGCAATTCTGAGCTGTCTTTAGTTAGCCCTGGGGGTTTCCTCTGCCCTCTGACTGTTTCTGCACTGAACTAGAAAAGATATTAAAGACACTCATTAAAGAACCAGGCCCAATAACTACAAGCTTGGAAAACTCTCTTAAGTACAAAAAGTTCAGTGTTTAAAAGCAAAGGATAGGTAGAGCCCATCGCTACGTTTGCTACGTTAAGATTCTACTGTCCACAGTTAATTTTGTGCGGTTTTGAGACGTCACCTTTGCAGGCAGTTTACATGGAGAGTTTATTAAGTTCATTAATTCATAGTATAATGTTTTCTCTCATTTAAAAAAAATGGTGTGTTCCTTAAGCATTTTATTATCATAGGGATATACTGACATTTATTTTAAAAAACTGAGCGATAAGATTTTCTTTGGGGTGAATCATTGCCAGGTGACTTAATCTTTGTCATCTAGATCTTAGTAAAACAATAGTTTTTTTTTTAAAGAAAATATTTTCTAGGCAATCTCTTAACCTGTAGTACCAGTTTTAAATCTATGTAATTTACTGAATGTTCACAGTGATGATGATAATGATGGTGGTGGTGGTGGTGGTGGTGACGGTGATGACAAGAGGCACTTACTGCTTAAATGTGTCACCCAATTTGGTTGAATCCTCAGCACAATTCTCCCATAGCAGAATGATGACAGTTCCCATCTGAGCTCGCCACTCACCAGGCTGGAAGACCTTAGTTAAATTCTAGAGTATCGGCTTCCTGGTTTGTAAACTGTGGATAAGCACAATAGTTAAGGTTGTTGCAAAGAGTAAATGGGAGGACGCTTGTAAAGAAAATGCTGCACACAGAGTGCTCTGAGGCCTCTGCAGGTGGTGGCGGTGGCAGCGGTGTTGCCTTCCCTCTTCCACTCTTAAGGAAACAGCCTGCAGAGCCCCAGGAACTTGGCCCCTGGCCCCTGGCAGTTAAGGAGTAGAACAAGGATTGGAGCCTCGTGATTCACTACTCAAAACCTCACTGCTCCTAAGCACTCTGTCCCACAGCAGACATTTGGGAGGTGGTTATCTGTAGACCAGTGTTGGATTCCGTGCTCACAGCTGCCCTGCTAAGGACCTGTCTTTGCCTCTTGATCCTTTCAATAAGCCCTTAAGTCTTTTAACCAATCTGGGTGCCCTTTTTTGAACTTGATCCAATCTAAATACGTCCCTAGTGCCTGTGAAATTCACAAGTAAGCTTAGTCATATAGCACAGGGTGTGCAGGGTTTTATGAGGTAGGATTATACTTCCCTGTCACATGAGGTAATTCTGCTAGGGTGAACCTGAAGTGGCATTCATCTTCATTAACGTGACTTGTATTACAAACATGTATCCGGTGTGTAATTGACTGCCTTGTCTGTGGTCTGTCATCTCTGCCTTCAGGTTTCTTGCATTCACACAAAACCAAAACCCCTTCACCTCTTTTCTTACACATATAAAATGAGTTGTGGAATAGAGGCTGGTATCTGAATCCTTGACACCCTCACCCACAAGCCCCCATCCCAAACACATAGTTAAGGTGTCTGCTCGGTGAATCATACTTCTTCCTGTCTCCTCTGTGTCTAGATCTGACTTCACCCCTATTTAAGGTACTCCCCACTTTATATGGAGGGCCATTCAGAGATTATTTGACTTGTCACTGCCCTCCGAGTGAGTTTTGCTAAACTTCAGAATGTTGCATTTCATTCACTGTGAAACTACATTTACAGTTCCAATAGGAGAAAAGGAACCCCTATATTCTAATGTGATTGACTCAAACATGTAACATTAACTTCCTATCTTCACAGTCAGGATTGTATGGGGTGTTTTTTTAAAAGCATGTATTATGCCGTTTTAAAATTATCAGTAACAGATTTGGAAGGTTAGTATAGTAGATCCATTCTGAATTTTTGTGAGGAATGACACTGCATTTTATTTCCTGAAAACTATGACTCAGCATAAAAGTGTTTGAAATTAGATTAGTTTTCTCCCAGAATCTTATTGTTTATCTCTACATCTTACATATTCATAGTGCCTTATTTTCTGCCTACTTGCTTTCATGTTTTCCTGTCATATGAGATTACAAACTCCTTTAGAGTAGAAATTTTGACCTTTTCATATTTGCATCCTGGTACATGACTAATTTAGTAACTTCCTATTGGATTGAATCTTTGAATTTCTAAGCTTTGCTGTATTTTCTTTGTAAGGATAATTATTTTGGCAGTAGTTATAGCAAATTCCAAGTTGCAAAACTGTTTAAATTTTCTCTTCTCAAAGTTAAACAAAGTTAGTAGCCAAAGCTACTAATTTAGAAATGCATAATTTATGTGCATATGTGTGTGTGTATGCGTGTAGATAGAAGAAACTATGTTTACTTGCATGTGTATACTATATGAAATAAGAAGGAAAAGTAAGCAGTCCAAACTTTTGAAAGATGGTTCAGGATGTATACCCACAGAGTTTTCTTTTGGTGCTCTGAATAAGGAGGGGGGAGGAACAGTGCAGGGGCCAGAAAGGAGAATATGTTGTTTCCTTGGATTATTATTTTTTCATTTGGTTCACACTTGTGGAAAAGAGGGCCATTCAGACAGAGTTTATTAGTATACAAAGAAAAGCATTGTACTACATTGAATTCTTTTCACCTGAAAGAAATAAGCTATGGTTAACCAAAGGAGGGGAGAAGGAGATTGGTTTTGAGCTCTTTGAGAATGCAGGTTGCAGGAAGTATAATAGAATAGTCCACACTATTTTATACCTATATGCCTATATTATCCTATGTGCTGCAGTGCAAGTTGAAGTTTTTTTCTGTTCATGACCTATAGTTTGATAATCACTCATTACTTTTGTGTTGGTTGATATAAGTACAGTTTGCTTGCCAGCTCACTCATTTGTTCATTTGTAGAACTTCTCCCCTTAATACTTTTACTGCATTTAATGTTAAGAGAGACTTTTTTTTCTTTGACGTTGTCCCAATGAGAAGAGAATTTCCTTATTGATGGAGTGGTGAACAGGCTACATGCTATCTCTGACTCAGAAAGTAGATATGATTATGGATGGACTTTTGTGAAACAAGATAACATGTTATTTGTAACGTGAACCTAGCAGTGTCTACCCAAAAGTGGAAAGGAAGAATGGAAATAGATTGTACTGGTAAGAAAATTGAAGGTTCCTGACAAAGTCTTCTGAGGATACAAATTCTATACTTAGAAGAACTCTTGTAAGAAAGTGAGTTTAAGAAAGCAGTCTAGTTCATTCCTATTAAAAACATGATATGCCGGGCTCGGTGGCTCAGCCTGTAATCCCGCGCCTTTGGGAGGCTGAGGTGAGTGGATTGCCTGAGCCCGCGAGTTCGAGACCCGCCTGGGCAGGGAGACCTCATCTCTACAATAAAAATCAAAAAATCAGCCGGGGTAGTAGCGCATGCCTGTAATTCCAGCTACTGGGAAGGCTGAGGCGGAAGGATCGCCGGAGCCCAGCAGGCGGAGGCTGCGGTGGCCGGGAGCGGCCACTGCACTCTAGTCTGGGGACCGAGTGATACTCCAACTCAAAAACAAACAAACAAACAAACAAAAAACATGAAATGTGTTGCCAAAGCCTTATGGCATGGAGGCCTATGCTTCCAGAGGTAATAGCTCACTGGTGCCCCCTTGCGGTAATCCAAGCCACCTCCCGTTTTCCTGCCTTAGGTAAGACACCTGTGGTGGACACGGCAAGCTTTAATGTCCAGAGTTGGAAGGTATACGTGCTTTTCTAGATTTTATTTAAGCTTCATTCTCATTCCTTTTCTCATTTGTTTTAGGCCAAAGAACTGCCAACTTTAAAGGATAATGATTTCATTAATGAGGGCCAAAAGATTTATATTGATGACAACAACAAAAAGGTATTCCTGGAAAAACTGAAAAAGGATGTTGAGGTAAGAACAGTCAGTATAAAGAACAGTCCCATTGTACAAACATCAACAGTGTTGGTTTTTAGGAACTTTTAAAACTATCTATTTAAGGACTTTGAACACTTATCATAATACTATAATAAGAAAAGGATCGACAGTGGTGGGAATCTATGGGGGCGGGACAGGGAGGGCAAGGGTGGTGGAATTAATGGCAGTCAATATCTGTCTGGGGACAGGGAGACACCCCTTATCAACAAGGGTGCCTGAACGATGCATATATGTATACCTAACCCTTAACTGTACCCCACAATTTAAAAATAAAAATATGGTTTAAAAAAAACTGTCTACTTAAGTCTGCAACCAAGGCAAAGATAGTCTACATTGTCAAAGTCAGATATAAGCAGGTACACCTCATACTACGTGACCTGGTTTAAAGGAAAAGCATGCCAGTTCAGCAGATCACTCATTCAGGTGACAGCAGGAAAGCACCTGCTGTCATCTTCTGGGTATCCCTAGCCTCAGGTTTCCACGTTCTTTGTATGTGCGGCGGCCCATGAAGACTGACCTGCCCACAACTGGAGTTTGGGAGCGGTCGGAGGAATACTACTGAGTTCTGTCAAACCGCAGATCATGTCAAAAACAAATGTTCAGTAACCCTTTGAGTCTTGGCTTTTTTCCCTCTAAACCACATCTCAGTGGTGGTAAACACAGCATTGCTGACCTCATGCTTTAATGTTTCCACAAGCCACCATGAACGATGTCACAGACCCAGCGATGCAGCCTTGCACATCATTGGCCCAGGACAGGGGGAGCTTGGGCATGAGGGTGGTGGTGAGAAATAAAACACCGCATTCCAATGGGCTTGTAGTGGATAACAAAGGAGCTTTATTTGTAAGGACTGTTTTGTTTAAGAATTTAAAATATGCCTATTTCTATCATTTTGCTTATTATAAAGGCATTGCGGCTTTCCTGTTGGATTTCCTTATTTAATTATTTTAGAAATACATACAGGAAAGAAGATATTTTCTTGGAATTTATTGACTTGCAAAACAATGCAGAGGGAATTCTAATTTAGCAATTACTAAACTAAGTTTCTCTTAGCAGTCACTTTCATTCGTGTGTGTACACTTTTTATTTTTTAGACTTCGAAACACTTGTCCCCGCACACAATATAGATCTGTTACATAGAGAGAGACTTTGCGGAAAGATTTTCTTTTTCTGCCATTAAACAAAACAAAAAAATTAAAAGAACTAGAGAAAAAGAATGAATATCATGCATTTGATTGTATTCCTCCACGAAGGCAGAAGCTGTATTCTCATTAATTTTTTGATCTTCGAACACTCAGTGACTAAGTTAGTTCCTAGTTATTTTTAGATCATAAATTATTTTAACAAAATTTTTTACATTATTTTACTCTTCATGATAATAGATGCTTGGATTAGAACTCCAATATTGGTTATTTGTAAAGGGCACAAGTGTCTACTGTAAACAAACAAAAAGTACATACAAATACTTACTTTTACATGCAACATTTTTCTCCATTCTTGCATTAAGGAATCTTTAGTTTTCCTCAGTTGTCAGTGGTTATTATTAAAATGTACTAGTTAAACATTTTCCCCTTAATTGGGATTCTCTTTTGGATTTTTACTGATTAATCAGCAAATCTTTGATACTGAAAATAATGTTTGGGCAATTCTGGTAAGTAGCCCTTAGGGTTATCTGTGACCTGCCCCAAAAACATTTTTTTCTTTTCTTTTTTTTTTCCTGTTGGCTATATACCACTATGATATTTAGATTCCAAGAATAACGTAACTCAAGCAGTTCACATTTACAGTTGAATTACATAAACATCCTCTTAGCCCTTTTGTTGTCTCTAATAATGCTGTTGATTAGAGGATTTGGATTCGATAGTCTAATCCTATATGTGGCTTGAGCACTTAGCTGTTTTGTCAGCATGGAGACAGGGTGTAAAGCATTCTTTCATTTAAAAATATTCTCAATGGCTGATAACAGTGTCTTTAGTTTTGAAATTCATGCAGAAGCTTCATTAAATTTTTAAGCAGGTAATTATGGTGAAGTAGCTTGACATCTGATCTTAATAATGAGACTTGAATTTAATCTAAATTTCTTTTTTCATCAGTTCTGTGCTTTCTAATTTATCTGACTGGCTTGTTGGTTTCAGCACAGTTTTTTTGTTGTTGCTGTTTTCCTTAATGCTTAGAGTAGAAGATCTGAATTTATTACAACTCTGTAAATCTCTTTTTTAGAAAAAAAAGAAAATAATTTTCATTAGAGATTCTAGTTGGGTTTTTTTTTTTTCCTATAATTGAAATCCTGTTCTACTGTTCATTGGCCAGACTGAGTACTTTAGTGTAGTTAGCTTTACTTTTGTCCAGTCGTCTATTGGGGGGAAGAAAAAAAAAAAAACATGTTCTAGGAGGAGTAAAAGGCACTTTTGCCTTCTGCCCTGCTTTTTGTCAACCCTGCTCATAACGCTGGAGAATCAACCCTGATCTTTCCTCTCATTGACTCGAACTGAAATCCAAACATCATGTGATGCAAAACTGTGCTCTCCAGCGGCATCCTGGAGTGCCGTTACAGGGCATCTGAACTGTCTCATGTTTATAGATCCCAACCTTGGAAGTGGGTGAGAAGGGGTAGGGTAGTGGGAGTAGTGGGGCAGGTGGCACCCAACATTTATCGAGCCATCTAGTCTGTGTCCTTCCTTTGCAGTCATTATCTCCTGTCATTCTCAGAACAACTCCTTGAGAGTGGTTCTTTTATTATCTCTGATGAATAAGGAAACCAAGTCCAGAGACAACATGTAATTTGCTCAAAGGCACACAGCTTCTAAATTCAAAGTAGGGTTTGAGACCCTCAGAGGCCACACTCCTACTCACATAAAATGCAAGTTAAAAGTATTTGTGAGAGCATAGATGAGACTTTGTTTTCTGATAAACCATCAAAAGAAGGATTATTATAATTTTTAACAAGTGGTAAAGTACAACTGTTCCACAAGGCTGACTGGGATTTGTGTTCTACTTCACAGAAACATTGGCAGATGGCAATTCAGTGTGTCGGTAAAATTAGCAAATAAAGTTAATTTAAAATTGTTGTAAAATATAGTTCATTAATTGTTCCTTTGCCATGTAGTTTTTAGAAGCGTTTGTGACAGGACTCCCAAAGATCTCAAGGAAGATGTTAGCTCAAAGATTTGTCACAATGAGAAATTAACTATTAAGGAATTAGATGAGATGGGGTATTCTGAGGAGAAAAGAGGCAGATTAAAGATTTGGCAGGTAGTCATTAAAGAGTTGAAAAGGAAGAAAAGCAGGGGGCCTAAAGATTTTAAAATCTTCACACTTTGAAATCTTAAGGCTTAAAAAATATATACCTTGGTGTTAGAAGCTTAAAAGGAAGATGAGAAATAAAGAGCAAATAGTTACTGAGTTCCTGCTCTCAGCGGGAGGCCGACCCTACAGCAGAGCCTGTGCCCCTTCTCTGTCTTTCTGTCCACCCTTCACCTTGAACTTTCAGTCCACAATCATTCTATGATACGCAACAATAGTTTTCTCTAAGAAAATCTTGGATTTTTTTGTCACACTTCATTTCACTCTACCTCAGAAGAGATTTAAAATAAAGTTTGTGCAGGTCAGAGCTCGTGAATCTGTGGGCTACTCCACATGCTTCTTTCTTCCCAGCCCACCAACTTAAGGCCTCTACCATAACCAAAACAACACTGACAGTTAAGCAACAGCTTTCATTATTATGCGCACAGCACTATATCCTTTGCTTCAACTATGGCTATGTTACCTCTTTTAATCCTTTCCACACCTCTGAGAGGTGAGTAGTATTGTCCCATGTTATAGTTAGAATGACTGAGGCCTGAAAAGGTAAACTCATCAAGGCACAGTGAGACAAATGAGACTTAATCTGCCATCTGACTCCAAAACCTATACTCTCTGTTTCTTAGCATTATCCAGTACTTAATTAAAAAAGAATAAATGAGTCAACCTTGACAGCAAAACCTGTCTTCGTTACCACTGTGCTGTGCTTGGTCTTTTCTGTTACAACCTCAGTCTCATAGATTTGAGAACATCTATCATCCCCATTGGGATGTGTTTTCCTCCCTCTTCTTGTGTGTGTTAGAACAGCATCTTACCTAGAGATTCCTTTTTCATCTCACTGATAGTTTGGTGTTGTGCTAGGAACTGACTCCACCTTTATTTCTTCCTTATGGAGGACAAGCATAAACAGCAGTCTGACCACAGGTCTGAGCCCCAGGAAAGTTGCAGCCCAGATTGGGGGTGGAGGGACTAGGGCCTGGATACTCACCTTGGTGAGGGTGACTGGCCAGCCTCAGTTGTCCTCCTTCCCTGTCTGACCTTTGGCAAATTAATGAAAGGCAGTCCTGGACTTCTGTCAATAAAGTACACTTAGAATTGTATTTGAAGGTCAACCATCCAAAGGTCAAACAGTAGACATCCCTATTAAAGAAAGATGTCTTTCCAGAGAGCACAGATGTGTTGTAAATGGTCACATTGTGCTTCTGTCCCATAGGTGTTGCCACTTGCAGTCTCACACAAAGATTTTTTGTTGTTGCTTTGTTCTTTGGTAGTTATTCCCTGGGGGAAGCGGATTGAGGGAATTGGGAGAAGTTGAAGGGGATAGGGAAGAAGAAGCTGGCATACCATTCACTTGTTCAAATGAGGACATCCCATGAGCCCATCACTCACTGGGAGTTAGGAATACAGTGAGAACCAAACTGCAGACCCCTGTGGGACTGCACTATTTGGGAAAGAGAGAAGTTACTTAGAAGCTCTAACAAAATGAATGTGCAGCTCAACCAAGTGTCACTAAGGAAGAGGGTGCAGTGCTGTAAATGCCAGACTCCGGGGATTGCTGCCCTGAGAGGTGTGCTACAGTTGAGACCTGAAGGAGGTACCTGGCCACAGGTGAGAAGTCCAGAAGAGAGTGGAGCAGATTCAAGCCCGCCCAAGAAGTAGATGGGGCCAAGCTCCCCAGGCCTCCTGGGCCGTGTGAGAGTTTGTTTCTACCTGTGAGAAATGTTGCACCATTGAAAGATCTTACGCAGGGCGTGACATGGTCGCATTTGTGTCTTGAAGACATCCCTTTGCAGAGGACTGGAGGGGAACAGTCAGACAGTACCCCGTCGTAGCCACTTTGCAGGGATCTTCTGAGCACTCAGAGGGGGCAAGGATGGGCAGGAAGGTCCTTTCTGCCATTGTTTCAGTTGAGCAGGTCCCCGCCTGGCTCCGTCCCCCCTGCCCTTCACCCTCCAGTGCATGTGGACTCTGGGGGCAGATGCAGCACTTGGTGACCTGGAGCTGCCAGCAGTGCCCAACCCCAACCCCTGGAGAGGTTTCCAGGAGTGGGGAGGGAGGCCAAGGAGATCCTAGGCCCAGGGAGCAGGGCCGGGCACCATGCTAGGCATGGAAAGGAGCAGTGGAAGAGAGGAACAAGACCCTGACTGGGTCCTCCAGGAGCCCAGAGGCCTTGGAACAACAGGTAGGGCAGAAGTGGGGTCATCGTGAGTACTCTACCAGTCGTATCTGCCAAGGACCAAATGATGTGACTGGGTATTTCTGATGCAATATTTCCAAATATGCTTCCAAAACCGTAGGCCCACAGAATGTTCTGAAGGGGGAAGTGGGTTCCATGGTGACAAGCAGTACAAGGCATGCTGCTGGCTGTGCTCCCTCTGGAGACCTGCGGAGCTCAGCCATGTGAAGAAGGCCTCCTCAGAAGCCAGTTGATTTTGTGGAGCTCATTATCTTCCTCCCAGAATTTCAAAGTACAAGGTTTGGGGAAAGCTGCTTTAACAGCTTCCAGACATAGCGGGATACAGCACAAAGGACACAGACTTTGAACGGGGCCCCTGAATTCCCCCTTCCTTGGCTGTGAGTCCTTGTGTTCTTCTGCTGTCTCAGCCAACCTGCCTTGGCCTTGTCAGCTGTCTCTGTGCCTGTGGTGCTCAGTTATCTTTCACATCCGTGGACCAGGTAAAGCAGGGCAGGTGCCTGAGATCCAGTCACCTGGCTGTGTAACAACGTGGTGTTGATGCAGGGTCTGAGCATTTTGCTGTCACGTTCTCTCAAACGGCTATGGCTTAGCTGAGGAAGGCTACCCCCAGACACGCTCGACCAGGTGTGTCCTGAGGCCTGGCAGCTGGCATCATCCTAGGGGAGGATCCTAGGGGAAGATGAGTCTTGAGCACCAGAAGGGAAGTCTGACTGAGGGGAGACTGAGGGAGACGCCAGTGGCAAGTTGTTTCTTGTGCTTCCTGTAATGGAAGAGTTTGGAGGAAGGCTGTGGGTTGAGGGATGGAGATGGGGGAGTGGCTCAGAAAACTGAATGGAGGCACAGAGGCCTTCAGGGCCTCCACACTGTTTCCATGGCAGGTAGGCCTCAATTTTTAAGTAAGCAGGTTTCTCCCACCTTGCTCAAATATCCAAATGTAAGATTTGTGTAACTTCTCTTTTCTGAGCGCAAAACAAATGGGGAAGATTTAGCTGGCCCCAGGGGATTCATGGTGAGAAGGCAACTAAATGGGAACTGGGGAAGGAACAATAGTAGAGCGGACTCTGAGCTGAGGGAGAATTGCAGGCATCAGGAAATAGCTGGAGAGTGGACCTCGCACAGCCCTGTGCCCAGGGGTCCTCTCCTCCTCGTCTGTCAGGAAATGGGACTGCGCTTTCAGCTCCGAGACCAAGCTGCTTCCCAGCAGGGACAGGAAAAAGAAATGGCTCTGTGGGTTTCAGCAAGTTGATTCTATTTCAATTTTGGCCAGAACTTCAAGACCTGTAATTTTGTCTGCTTACCCTTGGTGTAAGGAAGTTTGCTTCCTAAATTCTATCAGAGTAGCCCAGGGTCTGGTCACCTGCTCTGCATCCCCGAGAAAGGCGGCATCGCCTTCTCCCAGAGTGAGAGCCACGTATCTTCTTGGACCTCAAGCCCAGGATCAGAGCAGAACTGGCCCCTGTACAGAGCCCACCAGCCAGGGGATCAGAGAACTGTTTAGGTCTAGCCAGCAGATGGACTGCCACAGTTTGCACTCAATGTTACCATCCATGTTTTAATGACTCAAGTCAAACATTGTGCTGAAGGCCATGTATCTGGATGCATCTACTTAAAAAATAAGAAAAGAAGGCCTGGCATGGTGTCTCACGCCTGCATTCTCAGCTCTTTAGGAGGCTGAGGCAGAAGGATCACTTGAGACCAGGAGTTTCAGACCAGCCTGAGCAACATAGCTAGACCCTGTCTCTACAAAAAGCAAAATCAAAATATTAGCTGGGCGTAGTGACACACACCTATAGTCCCAGCTACTCAGGAAGTTGAGGTGGGAGGATCGCTTGAGCCCAGGAGTTTGAGGCTGCGGCAATCTATGATCGCACCACTGCACCATGACTTTGCCTGGATAACAGAGCAAGACCCTGTCTCTAAAAAGAGAAGACAAAGAAGAAGGAAAAAATCATGATTTGAAAAGTCAAAAAAGAACTTGGCAGCCAGGAGTAGCCAAAGGCACAGAGCTAGGACTTGCCTCACATTATATTCTAGCTGTGGCTGGACCTGGAGAAGCAGGACAGTAATCCTGGATGTGCAGAGCCTTGTGGAAGCAAAGCCCCTTTAGTACCTTGCTCCCCTGCTTTCCTCAGGAAGTAGCCAGGGACAGAGGACTGCCTTACTCTCCAGTAGACACAGTGCCTTTGCTGGGTGCTTAGGATACATGGGCTTTTTTACTGGTGTGTGACAGACAGCATAATGATCACCTCTGTGGATTGGGCTGAATTTCGAAGTGCTTTCCCAAAGGACGATGAGAACCTCTGCTGGAAGCTTCTTGGGAGGTCCCTGGTCTTCCCTCTTAGCCAGTCTTAACTGTCGGGAGAAACTTGCTCTTCCCTCCCTCCCCTCTTTGCTCTTTGGTGTAATCCATCCAATGTGACATTCCAGGGAAAATAGTGTGAGCCCTGGATCAGCCTGAAGTGTGTGGCTACATTTTTAGTCAGAGAAACGGCCTGGGAGTGTGAGAGCCTCATAACTGGGATCTTTGCTGCCTCTCACAGCCATCCCCCCTGCGTAGTGTCCTGGGCTTTTCTTCTTTAAATCTTGGCTTTTACGTTTAAGTTGTGGCTGACCGTGTCATCTTCCTTCTCCAGTTTCTTGCCCAGCTAAAGCTCATGGACTACAGCCTGCTAGTGGGAATTCACGACGTGGAGAGAGCCGAACAGGAAGAGGTGGAGTGTGAGGAGAATGACGGGGAGGAGGAAGGGGAGAGCGACGGCACCCACCCTGTCGGGACCCCTCCAGACAGCCCTGGGAATACATTGAACAGCTCACCACCCTTGGCTCCAGGGGAGTTTGATCCGAACATTGACGTTTATGGAATTAAGTGCCATGAAAGTAAGCTTAGTTGCCATGGATGCTTTCTGCATATGGAGTAGCTTGACTTTTGCACTGTTATCTACCAGCACTCATAACTCCAGTTACAAGGGTCCTGCTCTACAAGACTCATTCTCCAGAGTCCATATAAGTGGATTTGGAGACGAGTGTGTTAAAGGTAACTGTAATCTCAGGTGTTGAAACATGTGTGATCAGGTCCTTGAATTTTATGATGCTGAGGGAACAGAGTAAAACCACAGACTACTTTGTATGTACAACACACACGCACACACATATATGTAAACATGTAACTATAGATAACATACATAAGAAATGTTTGAAAAGATGTTTTCTTCCTGGTTATCTTCTCTTTTATCTAAGTCAAAAGTGTCACTAATCTATCCTGAGCTAGGCACGTGTATGTGGTCCACTCACCCTCTGCCTGCAGGACTGGCATGTCACTACCAACAGCCCTTTCTGTCTCAGGGACATGTGGCTGGGCCCTGGTGTGGGGAGCGAGAGCTGAAGTGCTGTCATGTCTAATTCTGCTGTCCTCCACCATGGAGGAAATCTGTGACCCTCTTCTCTAGAGTCAGATCAATCTTAATCCTCAATATCTAGGTGATTGGGTATTTTGGATAGTTACAGGAATATTACATTCTACCTTAACTACTTATCTGTGAAAAAAATATATTTTAGTGATAGGATAAAAGCAGCCTCTTGTTTTTTGAGTAATATAAAGTATGGCTCATCACTTTTTAAAAAAATCTCAGATGGTATACCAACCAAGAAGTTTGAGTTGTGTCGTTCCTGTTTTTATTTTGCTTACCAGAATTGTTTCTTCAACACAGCAATTAGATACAATCACATGTACTTTTCATACTGTTTACAATGAAAACAGCTTAATACTTTTGGGAATATATAGAAAATAGATTGAAGAGGTTGTGTGCCTTATCCTGTTCTGATACTATATCTAATGAAAATTAATTATGAACAGCACATGAAATGGTAGGAAAGGATTAATGAGCATAATTAGTTCTACTTGTTTTATAGAGATTTCTTAAAATAGCATTTTTCTTATACCAAAGCAATGGACAATCATTAAATAAGCTCAGATTAACATAAAATAAAATAAAACACTTCTTCCCTTAGAACCTCTGCTGTTTAATATCAATATCCTGGAGTTGTGGTATTGATGGTTTTTTTTTTTTAACCTTTTAAATTGGAAGAAGATTGGGCACAGAGAGGCAAGCTGTTTCGTCTTCCATCCGCAGCCCACAGAATCCCTCTCCCTCCAGCCTCACTCCCACCTCCCTCAGCAGCATCTGCTGTCCGGGGTGTTGTCATTTGTCCCACATTCATTGCTCTCCTCTCTTTACAGACTCACCCAGGAAGGAGGTGTACTTCATGGCCATTATTGACATCCTTACTCATTATGACGCAAAAAAGAAAGCGGCCCATGCTGCAAAAACTGTTAAACATGGCGTGAGTATCTCCGTTTTTGTGTTCTTATCTCTTCCAGGTCCTGGGTGTTGTTTGGAATGCAGGGACCACTCCTTTCTGCCCCTCAATTTCTTTCTACTGAGCTATTCAATGCCCTTTAGGGATGCTTGTACCCTGCAGAAGTCACTTCTGAATGCCAGACATGTAGAATCCGCAGATGCCACTGCGGCTTCCTGTGGCTTCTGGCGAGTCACTTAAACTCAGTATGTCTCTCCTTTTTACACCAGAAAGTTAATAGCCATGTGCATCACTAGAATATGATACAAATCATTTCTTGTTTGAAAAATGTTCCAAAGATTAAAGTGCGAAGATAGGAAGTATTTTAATATGAAATGTTCGAAACTCTGAAGCATGATTCTCTGCTTAAATCACTTCAAAAATATACAGGATTATATTTCTTGTCTCACAGTAAATTGTATTTTTTTCCTACACAGAAATCTTTGAGTGCAAGATTAAAGTTTCATAATATCAATTCCTCACCTTGATTGTGCTTGCTTGGAATTATCACTATTCTAGATGCATATTAACTTGTTGAATCCCTGTGACAAGTCTGTGAGGGAGATATTAGGGTACCTCCTTTTTGTCAGTTGGAGAAACTGAGGAAAACAGCTTCAGAAATAATTTGCCAAGGTCCTCCACCTAGGAAAGTGGTATAGACAGGGTTTCTCCCCAGGACCCAGCCCGCCTTCTGCTCTGTTTTATGTCCACTCCACCCTCCCTGCTGATGAATCCCTCCTACCTGGCTACACTTCACAACTTTGGGAGCTTTGTGCTTTATTGAAGGGGTTCATTCAGACATTCTAGATACACTAAAAACTTGTGCCCTGGTTTGTTAATCCTGAAAGAAAAGTTGCTTCCCACAGACTGTATAGGGCTAAGCAAGATATACCAGAACCAGCAAACTCACTTAAAGTATCCTTTGCTGTTTTAAAATGGAAGCCAAGCCTGGCATGGTGGCTTATGCCTGTAATCCCAGCACTTTGGGAAGTCAAAGCCACAAGATTGCTTTGAGACCAGAAGTTTAGGATCAGCCTAGGCAACATAGCAAGAGCTCATCTCTACAAAAAATAAAATAAAATAAAATAACCAGGCACAGTAGTGTGCACCTGTAGCCCTAGCTACGGGAGGCTGAGGCAGGAGCCCAGGCGTTTGAGGTTGTAGTGAGATTGTGCACTGTAACCTCAGCTACAGTACAAGACCCTATCTCTTAAAATAAAATACAGTGGAAACCATCTTAAAATCATATTCTATTTGCCAAATAAATATTTCAGTCTTATTGTCAGCAGCTATGGGTTCCTGCTGTGTGCTATGTGTGTTGCACAGACCAAGACCTCACCTGGTCCACTGAACCTGTCAGTCAGAGAGAGTCCGAAGTAGCACTTACCCAACAGTTGGCATCAGAGCCATCTGAGTACTGTGTCCTTGCCAGATGCACCATCCCAGTTCCCTGATCCTAAGTCCAGTACAAGAAGAGGTTGAGGGAAGGGTCTTCAGAATACTCTATGGTAATTTTGATGCTTATCTGTTGTTGAAAACCATGAGTATGTTGCAACGACAGAACTGGAACAGAATGCTCTTTGGTCTTTCCCACTTATATGACCTCAAGGGAACACTTGAACTTTTGGTTCCTTCATCTGCTGTGGGGTCCTGCTGCCTTGCTAATGAGTTTGTAAGGGGGGATATGTGAGATGACTAGGCTGAACACTGGGCAAATGCTTTGCAAATATCTGTGCCTGTGTTATACACCATATGCAATTGGAGTGTGCCCTAGCCAACATGGCTCCATGTTCATCTCCCCAGTAAATTGCCAGTTCAGCTCTATAATGTGCCATGTAGACTAAAATCATGGGCTGTTTGCAAGAGCAAGACATTACTCTTAGCAAAAGAATATTGTATTAAGCTGCTGTCAGAGACTATTCTCTGCCTCCAAGGCCTGGGCTCCTCCCTGGAGACCCATAGAAATTACAACTTCCCCCATGAATGTGGGTGTCTAAAAATAGCACCTGGTGACTTGGTAAAAATCTAGTCTTGTCTTTTCCAGCCCAGGAAACTGGCCAGTGACTGCCTCGAGTATGCCGGCCTGCACTGTGCATCTAATAATAGTAGAAAGCCCCCTGCTAGGCTGCTGCAAGGGGCCAGGCTTCCTTGCTCTCCACAAGGCTCTGTGAAGAGGGAACAACGGCACCCCTGTGCCCTGCTGCTGAGGGAAACCAGTCCCTTCCCCTATGGAAGAGATGTAGCCAGCAGTGCTGTGTGTCACCTGGCTATGGTGCCCAGAATGAGCCTGGGCAGCTGTCCCAGTACCTGTTGCTGCTATTATCATCTCTCATTTTTTAGCACTGAGCCACTTATCCCTGTCATAAACTAAAGGGGTCCTGATGAATTAACACAGTCCTTAAGTAATTGCCATCAGGGTTTTCTTTTAGCCAAATGTTGATATTTATGTCATTCTCAAGGCATCTCCAGTGAAAGTATTGTTTCTGCAGCTTCTGCTATTAGATAGGAGCATCCAAAGTGTGGCTAGTTTGATTTTTTTTCTTAAGTTGCAACATATGTGTTAATAGTATCTTGTGCTCCTGCCATACTTTGCCTCATTTTCAGAGACAGATTCATAGATTCTTATAATTACTCAGACACAAGAGCCAAGATATTTTGAGTTACATTTTTAAGTGCAGAAGCCACATAGATTTGAAAAATTACTTGCTTTATATTCAGCTGCAGTTGGAAATTACTGGAGATATTGAATAGTAATTTGGGAAAATTATAAACATCGTATCAATATTGCCTTTCTTTACAACTGCCCAGGCTGGTGCGGAGATCTCAACTGTGAACCCAGAACAGTATTCAAAGCGCTTTTTGGACTTTATTGGCCACATCTTGACGTAACCTTCCGCGCAGCTTCGGACAGACATGAGCATGGATCAGACAGAGGTGGCTTCGGTGTAGGAAAAATGAAAACCAAACTCAGTGAAGTACTCATCTTGCAGGAAGCAAACCTCCTTGTTTACATCTTCAGGCTGAGAGACTGATTTGGGAGCTACTCGCTTTACAGCTACCTGATACTTTCCAGCGTCGTTCTAGCTATTTCTGACTGTGTGTGTGCGTGCGTGTGCATTTTAAAGTAATTCATTAATTAATTAAAATCAGTCAGCTCCAGTCAGAATGCATTCTGAAAAACCCTCTGATTCCAGCTGTAACTGAATGAACGAATGAATGAATGCACATGTGTAGGGGGAGGGGAGAAGGAAATGCATGTCAGAGCAACCATGTGGACATCACACGATAAACTGTGGATCAGTTTATTTATTTTTTTTTTGAGTTGAAAGATGTGAGACAGTATTCATAATAATAATGAAGATAATAATAATGATAATAATAATGATGATGATTCAGAGGAAAAAAACTTACCATGAATGTTACACTTCCACCCCGCACGCAGACACTCCTTAACAGTTGTAACCCAAGGCCCCGGCATCGGACGGGAGAATGCAGGCATCGCCATGTGTACTGGTTAAGGGTCCTGTCCCCAGCGGTGCCGGGACCCCCAGTGTCACGGAGCAGCCACCCCTCCCCGACAAGGAGCTGATGCCCCAGTGACTCTGTCTACACGTCTTCACCTTAGTAAATATGTCCAGGAAAACTGCTTACTTCTCTTTTCTTGCCTGGAGCCTTCATTGTTACACCCTTATGTTGCAGTATAGGAATTAATGATATAAAATGAAAATAAAGCTCACCTGAAAAGTGCATAGTTTGGGGCAATGGTGTCTACATCTCTCACTGCAGGAAGACAAGCAAAGTGTTAAAACTCTCAATTCTCCTGTCACTGAGTGCATATAAGGTGTTTATGTTTGACCATGATTTAAACAGTGGGATTTTATTATGAATTATCCCTTTAACTGAAACCTTCAGTTTTACTGTTTACATTATTAGAAAAACAGGGATATTTTTGAATCTAAAATTTTAATGTACAGCATGTGATTTTTGAAGTTTACATGTAAAGTCATTTTACAGTGTAGGTGAAATAATGTGTGTCATATTTTGAGATGTATCCTGCAAGTCATGTTTTTGAGTGAATGTTTTATTCAAAGTACATGGCAGACAGTCTTTTACAATAAAAGGAAAAGAATTTTTTGTTTCCTCTAGATGTACATTTATCAACCTAATTTTCTTAAAAAAGAGGTTTCACCCCAATTTGGTCATGTAAGTTCATTGCCCTAAACTGTGCTGATTGTTTTTAATCAAGTTATACATTCCCAGCCTAGATCATGTATCTGCTAACTTTTCTGCATTTTCTGAAAGGCATCAAGCTTAAGACATTAGACTTGCTTAGAGTAGATTATTCACTTACCTGCTGTGCTAAAGCTGTGCCTTTGAAATTTTTTGTTTCAAACATGAGATAATTTTTGTAGGCAGTTTCAGAAAAGAAAAAAAAAAGTCTACCCTTTAATTATTACTTACAACTCAACAAATCTCTCTGCCCTACTACCTTTTTAAGTAACTTTACTTCAGGGCTATCCAGACTGTAAGTTGTGCCCAATGTTTGTGGATTCATTTCACAGAATCTTTGGAAGCCAGCAGCTATGCCATTCCTACTACTGTCTACTGACTTCACATAGATTTGTTATCCTCGGCAGCTGATGTTAACACCACCATAACATAGTTGTCAAATTCATATTTTATGTGTTTAAATTAATTGATACTATGATTTGGATTTTCCTCCTGCACCATCAATTCTGACATCAAATCAGTTTTCATGTTTTGAAGTTGTACTGTGGTGTCTTTGACCCAAGACGACAAAAGGAAGACCCTGAAGTAAAGATAGGTACACATGCATTATTTGAGTAACTATTTCCTTTGTGGCCAATCTGTATATGCTTTTAGAAGTTTACAAATTGCTTTTATTTTTGTCTATGACAGTCTCTGTCATTTATTTCTGTTGATAAACTATTTGGACAGAGTAAGAAGTTTGCCCTGTATCTCCTAGTGCTAACAATACACTCCAGTCATGAGCCGGGCTTTACAAAATAAAGCACTTTGATGACTCACAGGATGACTCCTTTATTCCTCTGTCTCAATTGTGTTTCTCTCTGTTCCAAACGAATTTTAAATACTCAGTACTGAGAGTTTCTTTAAGCAATTCTTGAAAAGTAAAAGTAAAATGGAATATTTTTAGTTTCTTGAGCCCTGCCTTCAATTTGTAAACTGTTTTATCAGTAAGTAATAGAAATTTCCATGACAAAATCGACTTACTAAAGGTGGACAAGCAGAGGGAAAAAAATCTTTTTCACAAATAACCTATGAAGTCATATTTTTAGGTTTGATTGATCTTAGTTCTGTGTGTATCAGCATTTTTTCAAACTTTATTGCAATATCATTAGTGGTTTTTTTTATGGCATTCCACTTTATGCCAGACTAACACACATTTTGGCTATAGCATTTGTTTTGAAAACTCATGTTTGTTCTAATGTGATTGATAATTAGAGAATAATTTGATTATAAAGCACATTTCATGTTGCTTATGTGTAGTTTGGTCCGCAAGGAACATTAGGCAGAAAACTGCATGCACCTGAACTGAACTGAACTTGTATAGGGGTACACAGGACACCCACACTTCAGACACCTACTAGCACCTCAGCAATTTATCACACTTATTTATATCTGGAGTTACAACTTTTTTGCCTGATATCAGATCACCTTTCTTCTCTTGATAGTAACCCAAAAGCTGCTACCCTTCTGATATCCACACCCTCAAGGTGTGCCTCAGATATTTTTCAAGGTAACTTACCCTATTTATTTTGGTATTTATATATTTCCTAACTATTTACCAGGTGTAAAACTGTGCTGTGGCTTTTATGGGGTTCTTTTTAACATAAAAAGAAACTTGAAATTTGGGGGTGTTGTTCCCATAGTCCTATTTTTCTCATAAACTGTATGATTTCAGTTGTGCAATTTTGCTTAGAGCAGTGGTTTCTAGAAACATACCTGTTGCATTATTGCAGAATTGACTGTGGTCATCAGGGAACTTTAATTCAGTTTTGGGGTTTGTGTGTGTGTGTGTGTGTGTGTGTGTGTGTGTGTGTGTGTGTGTGTGTGTGTATGTGTGAGTGGTTTAAATGTGGACATTCATTTTCCTTTCATTTTGGTAATTTAAGTTCCTGGATTGAATTCACAATAGTCCCAGAAAAATTAGTTCTTTCAAATTCTTAATTCTTACTGCAGCATTTTTAGAAATGGTGGTTAAGAGTTAAGTGCAAGAGATTAGGAGCTATATTTAATGAAGTGGCGATGTATATCCTATGTAAGTATATGTAACGAGGCCAAGAGGTTGGACATAGACTTGGCACCACAGCACACAGCCTTTCACAGAATTTCTGATTAGCACAAAATCAGTGATTATAGTGACTACATGTACGTTCTTCTAGCTCTCAAAACAATTGGCCTCATTCCTTCCTGTCAACATCTTCCTCAGTAACGTTGTTTTCACCCTCAGTCACACAATGTAGAGATTGCTACGTTAAAAACATAAAAACCATTCGTGAAGGCCAGAAACTCTGCTCTGCCTTTTGAATTCCTATGCTGCAATCACCGGCATAGCCTCGTGGCACCTCCAGCCAGCCTGGCTTCACGCCCTCTTTTTATTATTCAGAACTGGTGTCTTTAAATTACTGGCATATTAAGGAGGCACGCATAGTAAAGTAGCTCAGAAGACCAATGAAGTGTCCCAAGAAAATGACAGTTGGTAATTTTATGTAGCGTGATCATTGAAAGCTTTCATAAAATCCTAAGTTTAGTGGGTAATTTTTTATCTAAACTGAAGTTTTACCTAAACTTGTCTTCAGAAGTCCTGCCAAAGGGGCAGTTAGATGCCATCATGTGAAATTATCTCTCACTCTTAAACACTGTTTTTAGTTAAATTTCATAAGAGAAGAGACACAGGATTAGAATTTCCTAGAATTCACTGTGATAGATTTGTTTTGTGTAATCCCACATGTGTTACAGATGAGGAAACCTTGGCCCAGAGAAGCCAAGTGACTTGTCCAAGGTCATATGGTAGACTGAGGCAAAGCCAAGATGAGAAGTTACCTCTCTATTTTAACTCAAAAGTGAAAGTTGGATGCATGACCAAGGACCCTTGGACTCTCCAGGACAATGGGACTTCACCATCACCCTAATGAGAGTGAATGTATTATTTTGTTTTCCTATTTTTCTTTCTTAATTGAACACCATTTTTTTTAACTGTCACTTGACTTTTTAAAATCAGGGAGTCTTATTGGGTAATATAAAAATACTCATAGACCAAATGAATGGCAATCTCTGGATGTGGAACTTGGAAATCTTTATCAGTTGAATGTACTTTCTAAGTGCAGGAATGGTCAGGTTTGGAAAACACTGACTTAAATGATTAATACCTCCCATTGATCACTAATTTTAAATGCTTTCTTGTAATATATGTTTATCTATCTCTTCCTCCCCCCCACCTCCCTTTTCTGCATTATTTCCTAATATATGAACAAGGTAGCTTCTGGTTGGTAAGAGCAGAAGTCAGCAAACCACAGCCTGAGGGCTAAATCCAGCCCTCTGCATGATTTTTTATTGTAAATAAAGTTTTATTGGAGCACAGGTGTGCCCATTAACTTAGTATTTTCTCTGGGGGCTTTCAAGCTACGGTGGCAGAGTTAGTGGTTGTGACAGACAACATAGCCCACACAGCATTTACTACCTAGCTCTTTACAGAAAAAAAATTACTTACCCCTGAAATAGAGACTCGTTTTAGTATTACAAAGCAGTTTCTGCAAAACCATGGGCTTTACCACAGTTTCTTCGTGTTGACCTTTGTCCATGATATGGTATAAAAGAAAGTTTAAATAACACTTCAAGACTTGTCAGCAAAACTCAATATTAAAAATCTGGCATGTTTTAGAATTGAATAAACTTTAATACCACTGTCATAAATACATCCACAGTAATTGACAAGTGACTAGTTCTGGGGTCCCTTGATTTTCAAATCAGGATGATAAGTTTGGGGGCTTCATTTTTTGGTTTGTTTTGTTTTTGTTTTCATTATAAAGATGTGGGGTACACTTCAGGGTTAGGTGTACAAATGTTGATTATGCAGGGACCCTTGTTGTGAGGTGTACCCCTATCTCCCCAGCAGTTTCCCTCAACTGCCAATCCCACCCCTCCTCCCCTGACAGTTTCCCACTACTGCCAATCGCTTTCTTATAGTAGTATAATTGTTCAAGGTCCACTTATGAGTGGGAACATATGGTACTCTGTTCTTTGCTTCTGTGATAGATCACTGAATGTGATAGACTCTAAATCCATCCAAGTTGCTGCAAATCCATATATTTGTCCTTCTTTATGGCTGCATAATATTCCATTGTGTATATGTACCACATTTTTTTTATCTAGTCCAGCTTCGATGGGCAACATGGTTGGTTCCGTGTTTATGCTATTGTGAATAGAGTTGTAACAAACATATGTGTGCAGGTATCTTTTTTGTAGAATAATTTGAGCTCCTCCGGGTATATTCCCAGTAGGGAAATTGCTGGGTCATATGGAAGGTCAATTTCTAGTTCTTTCAGAAACCACCACACTGTCTTCTAAAGACGTTGCACTAGTTTGCATTCCCATCAGCATTGTGGAAGCGTTCCTTTTTCTCTGCATCCTTGCCAGCATCTGTTGTTGTTTTATTAATGATGACCACTCTTACTGGGGTTAGGTGGTATCTCATCCCATTCATGTCTTTTGCCCACTTTTTAATGGGGCTGTTTGTTTTTTTCCTTTTGGCGCATTTGAGTTCCTTATAGATTCTAAATATTAGACCTTTGTCAGATATACAGTTGGCAAATATTTTTTCCCCATTCTTGGGGCTGTCTCCCGGCTCTCTTAATGGTTTCTTTTGCTTTGCAGAAGCTCGTTAGTTTGATGAGGAAAAAAAGAACTCCTGAAGGTTGGAAAGCAACTTTCTAGTGGCTCCTTCTAATTCCTTGTATATGCTGCTCTTAACTAGTGTGCATATGTACTCTAATTAAATTCCTTGTCTTCAGAATCTTTCAAAATATGGCTAATAAAACACCACCATGTGATCATCTCATGTACACATCAAGTTTCCAAGATGCTCTGATTGTGTAAAAATAAGCTATATTACTGTATTGTCACATCTGTTCCTGGAGATCTGTATTGTCCACAGTGAACTTTGACCTTCCATCTGGAAGCAAGACTTCTTTTTTTTTTTTTTAAAGTTAAAGCATATTTTTTCTGTTCAACTTACAGAGATGTGTTGCCCAGTGGGATTCAGTGCATTCATCTTATAGTGGCAAACTCGCATACAACGTGGTTTTATGCTTACCTGCTAAGTGTTTCCACATTGTGTTTGTTCACCCTGGGTAAGAGCTTGGCAAAACAGATATGAGGGTTTCTTTTAAGCATATTTGAAAAAGCAAGATTTTTTCCTTCATTTGCAGTGGAGGCAGGATTTCTTTAATTTCACTAAAGCGGTTGCAACTCACTACTTTCAATAGCCATTGAAGAAAGAAGTGTTGAACTTCCCAGCCCTGTGAGGACTGGTGTTAGGTAAGTTATACTAGGGTTTCTCTACCTCAGTACCATCAATATTTTGGACTGGATCATTCTTTGCTGAAGGCATTGTTGCATTGTAGGATATAGCAGCATCTCTAGCCTTTATCCAGTTGATGCCAGTAGCACCCTCCCACCTCAGTTCTGACAACCACATATGTCTACCAGATGTCCCCTGAGGGATACAGTTGCCCTTGGTTGTGGACCAGTGACTTAGAGGGATGCTTTCTTCAAGTGCCACTCTGCAAGGACTGAAGGACTTGGCTCAGTTTGACTTAGGACCAAAAGGAAGACTTATTCTTCCTTCCAAGAGGACAAATCTGATTCTTATATGTGCAGAGCTGCTATATATCCACAGTAGTGCATATTAAAACCACCTGGGGAGATTTTAAAACTCCCCATGCCCAGACTCTAAACCAGTTAAACCAGAATCTCTGAGAATGGGGCTCAGGTATCAGTATTTTTTAA